GGAAACCCATTATCTCCACTGTTATTTGGCATAGTGTTAAGATGCTAACTATATAAATAAGTAAAACAAAACAAACCAAAACAAAACCCTGTCAATTAAAAAAACACATTGAACTCTGTTTTATAAGAGCACAAAATTAAGCAATTACTATTGTCATTAGTCATCAATGGTTATGGGGTTTTTACTTTATAGAGAGCCACCCAATTGACCCATGGAGTATTTAATAAAATAGAAAATTTTCTTTCTGTTCTCCAACTGACAATCTAGTAGCGAAGATAGAAATTATATATATACTATATATATATATGTATATGTATGTATATACATATATATGTATAGATAAATAACAAATAATAAATTTACAGCACAGCTTACTAGCACAGTCAAATTAAACTCTCAAAGATGCAAAGAACTTTGCTTAAAATCTATTTATTTACAAATAACTGTATAGATAGGGAACTAAGTTCTGTCAAAGAAGTAGAAAACCAATAATCTGGTCCAAAAGTAAGACATTCACATACCTTATAGAAAGGCTTCAATGAATAATAGTTTATTTGTTATTTATTTTTCTCCTATGGAAGAAACCAAAAGAGTCATTGGTCAATCAATTATCTTGTGTTTTTGTTTGGTTTCTGCTTGCTGTTAATTAAAATTATTACAATCCAAGAATTTTATCAAAAGGATTTTTTATTTTCTCTACCTTGGATAAATACATTGGGAAGGGGGTAGGAATAATGTTATATGTGGACATTAATGTAGTGAGGAATGACACTTGGGATTGGGAAAGAATATAAAACAAAGGGATCTAGTACTTTTTGAAATAAACATATAAAGTCCTGATGAAAGTCCTTTTGTAGAGTTGATAAATATCCACACCAACCAACTTCATTGACTTTGATTATTTCAGGTATCCATTGAAAAAATAGGCATCAGAAATATAATTTGAGGCAAAGAGATTAAAGAATGCAATAAAATGATAATTCGATTGCAATTTTAAGGTCATTTTTAAAAAGTGAAAGTGTAAGTTATCATCTTTTCATTCACAGATATGGAGTAGGATCACTAGAGTCACAATTCTCAATATGTATATGCGATGTTATTCCAGGATAAACTTTCTGCATGGGCAACAGAATTCCAAGTTTGTCTCCCTTCTGGATATGACCGTTTAATTTAATAGGCTTCATGTAGAATATTTTAACACAATAACCCCCCAAAAAGGGGGGGGTGAGTAAAATTACTCATTCGTCCTATTATTGCCCAGCATACCAACTGAGTTCTGTTCCAAAACTGAAATTCAGGAGTCTTCTAGATATATCTGAACCTCATTTCAACGAAATGTTTCAGGAAAAGGATATCTGTTTAATTGACTAGTTAATGTGTCTGGTTATTTAAGGTAAAACTAAAAAACTTTTTTGTTTGAGATTTTGTTCTTAGGTCTTCCTAGAATAAATTAGTATGTACTTGGCTGCCATGGAAAATAACAACATACTGAAGGTAGAGTGAATCAGTACCATCATTCTGAATGTTATTTTTTATTGTACTCTTGGTAGCTGTGTATATTCAGAGAGTGGTATAGGAGATTGAGCTGACCATAATTACACCATGACTATCCTATGAGCTTATGGATGGGAATTTTTGAAAGCTAATGGAAAATGGGAGAGGTATCACAGGATTGGGCAAATGTTGCTATGATTTTCAAAAAAAAAGGAAGACGATAATAATACAAACTATAAGCAAATGAGCTTAGCTTAAGCTCCTGAAAATATTGTTAGAAATATTTTGCTAAAAGGTTGGTTAACGAACATCCGGAAGAAGCAGTGATTACAAAGAGTTGGCATGGCTTTATCAAGAACAGGTCACACAGTCTTCTAGTTAAGGGAAGGGTGAGAAAGACACTAGAGGAGTTTGTTAAGTCATTTCAGTTGCGTCTGACTCTTCATAACCCCATTTGGGGTTTTCTTAGAATTTAGCTTTCCCTAACATCCTTTAACATAGTTCTAAAAAAAAATGCCAGAATATATTATTAATTAAAACATTATAGAAGAGGAACAATTAACTCCTCCATTGAACCCATGACTATGCAAAAAGAATGAGAGGAATCTGCGGGCATTCTTGGGTGGATATAATTCAAGGGAGGAGGAAGCCAGTACCACCACCTACAGCCTAAAGTCAGGAAGATCTTGGCCCCAACTTTTTGAACATCAGAAAAGAAAGCTAGCTCCCATGTTCTATTCATGGAGAGTTTCTGAATACTTTCAAGAGCCTTAAAGCCATCATCCCAGCAACTTGTAGTAGAGCTACAGCAGAAGACAAAACCATGGCACACCCCAGACAGCCTGTGCATGAACCATAGCAGGATATGGGGTCATTGAAGGACAGAAAGGACAATGGTTAGTAGGGGAGTGGGAGGGCGAGAGGGGAAGGAAAGTCTCAAAGAGGCCTGAAGGCAGAGATCAGAGTTGCGCTATCTGAGCAGCCCATGCTAAAGGCATAACAGAAGAAAATTCAGAATAGCACCAAGACAGCCTAAGCTAAACCCATGGGAGAGAGAGTCACCCCAGTCCCTCACCCAGCTGCAGCAATAGGGGGCCATGCAGGAAACCTCAGGTCAATTTAACCTGCCATATCTGTTTGGGATACATCAGGGGCATTATATGGAAAGTGGCCAAATTCCATTATGAAATGAGAAGAGAGACAGAGAAGGGCTTAGGACAAAATGAAAGTAGGCTACTGGAAGATTAATCCAGGAACCAGTGATTCCAGCAGAGAGCAGGGCCTTCTTCTCACCAATAGAACTATAGTAGTATCCATACTTCAGAGGAGATAGGACCAAGCATGGCTTAATCAATCCATCTATGATCAATCTGAGTATGAGAGGGATCAGAGTCTGGCACAAAGTCATAGATCAGTAACTAAGGCTAGAGACAGTGATAAACAGAAGAATGCATGATATGTTATGAAGAAATACTATGCATCAAAAGAAAACCAAGATGTAAACATAGAAGATACCAAGTGTGCAAAAAGCATAAGCAAAGCCACAGAGGAATGACTAAATTACAAGGGCTCCAAGAGTGGCTAGAGAAGTTAAGCAAAATATTAAAATGAAACAAGATTTGGAAGAAAAAAAATTGGAGGGAAGATAAATAATTTAGAACATAAGGTGGAAAACTTTCCTCTAAGTAATGGATTCCCCTAAGTAATGGAAAATAGAATGGGCAAATGGAATTCTATGAGGCAAGAAGAAATATTAAAATAAAATCAAAAGATTGAAATTCTCTTCCACTGACATCCCAGTCTGATGCCTCAGAGCAGAAACTAATAATTTGAGTGGCTGAGGCAAATTCATCTGAATGGTGGCACTGTTGGTGGTTGGGGCACACTTCCATACATGCTAACAATACCTTGGAGTTAGAGGTCTTGGGATTTAAGTAGGTTGAAGAAGTAGGAAGCCAAGATTTCCAAAAGAATGCTAGGAGAGAAAGCCCGGTACTGAATTTATTGTAGGAGAAAAATAAATGACTTGGGGGTCCACAGATGGTATAAACAAAGATCTGGATAGGATGGAGGGAACTTTGAAGGAAGAAAGGTGGTGATTGAGTGATAGTAGCATAAGGAGGGTATGAAAGTAGCAGTGAGGAGCAAGAAGTATGCCTACTTCTCCTTTCGGTATCTAGTAAATGATTCCTCTTTAGTCTTGCAAAATGATTAATCATTGCACTTCTCATAGTTCTTAAGTCATGGTTGTTTTCCTTGGCAATGTTTTAATGATTGAGGGGTGGGGGTGAGAGAGAAGAGGCAACACTGACTGGAGTACAGTAAACAGTATTGACTGGAGAGGGTGGCAAGAAATGCGGTATCTGCAGAAGGAAGTTCAGTTTCAGTGAGCACCAAGTCACTGAAGCAAAGGAAAAGAGTAAGAACTTAATAAATATTTGTTTACTGTTTGATCAATGATGTGGTATGGTTCTTGAAGCCAAGCAGAATGTCAAGAGCAATTCACATCAGTGAAAAAATGGGCCCAAAGATAGAGGTCATGTCTATCGGATCCTGGGGGGCGAGAGGGACATCTTTTATTAAAATGGAGGAAGCAAACTTCTATGGATGCTTATTCCTGCAGTGAAGCCCTGGCTCCCCTTGCTAGTTCAGGTTATATGCCTCATCATGTCATGGAGGGTGTTTTGAATCCTCAACTTAACTTTGAATCCTTAATTTGCCAAGGCAGCATGATACAGTGGAGAAGACATGGGATATGGAGTTGGAGAACTTAGGTTTAAATCTCAGTTCTGATACTTTCTGTCTATGTAACCTTGGGGAAATCACTTTGCTTCTCTGGATTTCCTCCCATTGCTCATCTGTAAAATGATGAGGATTAGATTTGTTGACCTTTCAAGTTCTTTATAGCTTTTAATCAATGATGCTTTAATCCTGTGACCAGTTCCAGCAGATACCACTAAGCTGGACAGACTTCAAATATAGACCTAGTGACTAACTCTTTGTTTTCTAAAGCTTAACTTAGCTAAGTATAAAGCGACTCATCACTAGATTGGCTGTAAGGTGAAGTTTTTGGCAAAGCTCTCAAATACCATCTACTAAATTGCAAAAGTATTTGGTCCAGATGCAATTCTCTAAACATAACATTCTCCATGAAATAAATGAATCATAGAATGTTATAGTGGGTAAAGACTTCAGGAAATTTGGCCCAAACTATATCTGAAGAGGAATTCTTTTAATAATATCTTTCAAAAATATTCATACAGCCTCTGTTTAAAGACCTCTTCTGAAGAGGAATTCACTGCTATCCAAAAGAGCCTATTCAACTTTGGGGCCAATATTAGTGAATGTCTTTTTATGGAGTCAAAATCTGCCCTTCTTTAATTTCTGTTCATTGATCCTAGTTTCGTCTTATAGAGCAAAACAAAGCAGCTTTAATCCCCCTTTCAGCAACATCCTCAGTCACCTAAAGGAAAATAATATTCAAAGTCTTTGCTGTAGTTCACTTACCTTCTGCAGTTATCTGGACACCATTATTAATAGGTTTTGCCTGCCTCACAATTATTCCATCGAAAGGGGCATACGCAACTGATCCACCTTTGCATGTCACATCCACCCCGGTGTGTTTCCTTTTACCTCTAGAATGGAGAAAAGGGTACGTGGTTTATGGTCCAACGACATTGATGAAAACTCAGGTTACTATTAACTAATCAATTGAGCAGCTTGTCTCAAAAGAAGATATTCTTGATCTAACTTCACATCCTGTGTCTTCTTCCTCTTTTCTAATAATCTGTGACCACCTTGTATTTGGTGATAGCTCATTGTGTAGAAGAAGGGTAAAGGCTATCGTGAATATGTGTATGTGTAGACATTGTCACCTAAGACTTCTCAGGAATTATAAGAGTTTTGGTGACAGCAGACCATAGAGACTTCAGTTAAATGGGAAATGTGTGTGGACATACATTTCCTTGAATTCTGGAGTTTACATTTTCCTTTTCTCTTAAAGAATCTTCCACTGAAACTTTTTGCATGCTGTTGAAATGGAGGAGGAAAACATGGCTTGTGCCTCCAGGGAGCAGAGTGAGTATGCCGACCCCTGTTACCACAAGCAGAGGAATTCAAAGAGTGACCTGAAATTTCTTTTGTGGAGCAACTGTAGAAGTGGAGACATGAGAGTGGGCATGTGAGGGAAGGATAGGAGAGAGACTATAAGAAGTGGAAAGCACAGACCAGATCAAGACTTAATATGAAGCTACAAACATAATCATAGTTCATAGCTACATTTTTTCCTTATTTCCTTAATAAGCTTGTTTAAGAAAAAAGTTGCTATTAATTTGTATCTGCTCACTTCCTTTTCCCACTGATTAGAAGGAAAGTAAGGGAGGAAAGGGGGAAAAGCAATTCAGGCTTTACTGATGCCTGCTATTTGAAATATCATTTTATTGTTTATTTGCATTTTTCTGCTTTTATGATATTAACAGGCAGCTAGGTGGCACAGTGGATAAAGCTCTGGGCCTGGAATCAGGAATACTCTTCTTCATGAGTTCAACTTTGGCCTTGGACACTTACTAGCTGTATGACCATAGGCAAGTCATTTAACCCTGTTTGCCTCTATTCCTCATCTGTAAATTTGGGAGAAGGAAATGGCAAACCATTCCAGTATCCTTGCCAAGAAAACCACAAACGAGGTGATGAAGAGTTGGACATGACTGAAAAGCGACTCAACAACAAAATGTTCCCAATATGCACAATAAACTTCTCTCTTATTAAACAGTATTCTGAACATAATTTAACATTTTTAATTGTTTCAGTCATCATCATGAATACCAGTCATATAGTACAATAACACAATGATCAAACTATTAAGAAATATAGGACTGTTTTCTGTTTCACTAAATGAGTTCAGATTGGCATATTCTTCATACTTTTTTTGTGCTCCTCATTGTTATTATTTGTTATGTTTCATTTTTTCAATGTGTCTGCCTTTACCACTGCCTCCAAATTTTTAACTGATGTGTTTAATTAACAATAACTGGAAAACAAATTCAGAAGATATTAGAATTTTGTACAATGAATAAATGATAAAGTCAGAGGCAGTTAGGGTTAGAATTGGAGAAGGACTGTCTTAAGAATAAAGTGGATTAATCTTAATATAGAACTTTGTTACTTCTATTTTAGTTGTTTAAGGGTGTTTTGGGGTTTGTTTGGGTTTTTTTTGCTTACTTCCTGAATTTTTTTTTGGCAGGGCAATCAGGGTTAAGTGACTTGTATCATGTGTCTGAGGCTGGCTTTGAACTCAAGTCCTTCTGACTCCAGGGGTGGTATTCTACCCACTGTGCCACTTAGCTGCCCCTTCCTGATTTTTAATTCTATTCTCAATAAGTGAGGCAACCAGGTAAATGAAATTTTACTATATTGTAGATAAGGTTAGAGGGTATGTATAAACTCATAACTTGTCATTTTGATGGCTGGATGCCAAAAAGGGTCCTCTCTAAAGTGTTTTTGGTTGAAAAGGTTGAGATACTCTTTCGACCTGTGTGAAGTTCATCAATCCATTGAGTGACAAATACTGAAATATCTAGTACATACCAGGTAGTGTGCTGCCTGCTGAGTATACCAATACCAAAATGAGAGCGTTCTTCTCTTCCACCAGCTTACATTCTGTTAGGGGATTGGAGGGGCACAACATCCACAAGTAAATATAAGATCATTATAAAACATTCATAAATATGTTTAGAATTATTATCAAATAACTATCAAGTGATTATATGGGAAATAGTAACCGCAGGAGGAATATGGAAAAGCTTCATAGAGAAGGGCAGCCTTGAAGAGAGCTAGGCTTTCTAAGCTGCTTCTCTTATATTTTAATGTCTATAATATATATCACTGAGGCATAGTAGATAAAATTGTAAAAATTTTGCTTTACTATCTATGTGGTCTTGGGTTAATTAATTTATCTGTGTGTGTCCAGGTAGCTTCCCAGGACTTAGCTACTGAGTCAGAGATATATTAATCTACCCCAATAGAGAGAGTTCCTGTACCAGGTGTTACATATGAAACCCCCCTCCCCACAAATTCTGTATGTGTTCCCCGAAATAAAAAATTATAATATGATCAAAAACCTCATATAGAGGGATTTTATCTATCACTAGTGCTATATCCTAGGGTATTCTACTCTGCACTAAAGAAGGCAAGTGGATAACAAACAAGATTCAGCTCAAATGTTTCTCTGCATTATCTTTGCCATCCTTCTCCTCTGTCTTCTCAGGCCAGATGACCATTTTGTATTCCATCTGGGAACTATTTCTTGCAATATGCCTCAGGAATAATAGCATAATTACTTATCTCTGAGTCTTAACTTAGGGTTAGATTTTTTGTTTATTCACAACCTGTAATTTCATTGGCATAAGTGAAACTTTTGCAATGTATGGGTATTAGATTTGTTTGGGGGTCACTCAAAGATTAAGTTAAAATGCCCAGATTGGACTGTATATGTGTGTGTGTGTGTGTGTGTGCGTGCGTGTGTATAAAATGTGTATACATATACACGTACAGCATATATACATACGTATATGTACACACACACACACACACACACACACACACACACACATATATGTGTATGAGGTGACACTCACACTCGGGTTTTCCTGACTCCAAGGACAGCTCCCCACTACACCATGCTGTCTCTCTTATCATCCCATTACTATGTCACAAGAGAAATAAATAAGATGGACCTCAGAAAAGACTGAGGACAACTCCTGGCATAAGTTAAATAGACCATACCTAGAAGCACCATAGTTTCCACAGCCATACTTGGTATCACAGCCTCTGATAGTATTTTCATTTTTTCCAGCACACATAATACCCCATGGTCCTGCCAATGCTAAAAAGAAAAAGTAAAATATACAAGTTATTTTTTCTTTGTCTAGGTCTAGGTCTAGGTCTAGGTCTAGGATGTTCTCCAATCATTTAAAGAATTCTTAAAATTGTATCCCTGATTATTTATTTACCTATCTATGCCCTAATTATGACATAAATTTTAAATTTTCTATGATACAAAAAGTCCTACTATTTAATGGCACCCAAAGTATTTTCCAGAATACTGATTTGCTAGTGTTTTTTTTTTCAGGAGTTTCATAGTTCTTTGACATTATAGCCAACTTAATTTTAATTGCGATATACAAGTGCCTTTTAAAAAATTCTATTCAATAATAATGTCCGTAATAAAAAAAAGATTCAGAAATACTAGGCTAGCTTTAACACATGACTTTGTTATTCCATCCTTAAGATAAATCAAAGTACACAAAGTTTGAATGGGAGTGGGGATGGGGGAATGTCCTGGATAAGCAAGAAATTTCATCAGCCAAGTTTATTTAGCATTATATAAACAAGGGAAGGAAATCAAGCAAACTCAGCACCTAGTGGCAATATATTAACAAAATGACATAAAAATTGAAAGTGCTGAAATACTGGAGGCACATATTTAGTGATCAGTTCTACAGAAGTTCATATTTTAATTAAATGTATTACTCCTGGAATTTGGATCTTATTAGTGTACAATATATTTGAAATGCCCTAGCTAACTTCCACAAGAAAAAGTAATTTTTAAATCCTATTTCCCCTTAAAGGGGATAATTTGTTAATATTATTGAAGGGTTCTTAGTGACTATATGTATATATATGTATGTACATGTTGAATTTCATAAAATAGTTGAATTTCACAAGAGAAATCATAGAACAAAATTCAATTCATACATGAAAAATATCTTTGACCAAAATGTAACTTGTAAAAACTAACATTTACTTTAATAACAAAAGTGTGTATAAAAGGATACGGTGTGGATTCATTGAATTATTTTTTCCCTTTCTGTGTTAAGTGGACTTTAATCTTTGATCTCAAAACACGTTAGTCTTTCATTACAGAATTTTCCAAAACAAATACAAAAATGCTAAGTAAACAAAATGTTTCCTGAAAACAAAATAAAAAATTTTGCTGATTTCCAATTCTGGTTTTAGTAAATTCAAGACCAAAATTAAAGTGATTTTCTGATACTTCTATTCTACCTCATACTTTTCTCCTTATCAAACTAAGTTGTAGATAGACTTCATTTAACACTTAACTAATTTTATTGTAACTTTGATTTGTCTTCATGACTTTTAAATACTCTCTTAAAATTATTTTGAAAACATGAATAAATCTATTGAAGTTTTCATTTTGACTTAACAGTTGAAATCGAGGCAACAAAAATGAGTACCTTGATGAGAAGCATCTGGTCACCTTTTCTCTGATGGTACAGATGCTTAGGGTTGTTAGAATCTCTAGGTCTCTCTCTCTCAATGATATTTGATGAAGTTTAATGATGAGCCACTTTAGTCTCAGAAGTATAGCTGTCTCTTATTTTAAGGATTATTTTAGTGAGAAAGATGAAGAAAATGTCTGAAAGACAGAATAAGAGAAACAAAGAATGTGTTGGAGAGGGCTGAAAAATTTGTAGAGAAACTGGGTAAAGTGAAATCCTTCTGAACCAAAAGTAGCCATATGGTTCATTTGTAGAGCTTAATAAGACCATAAGAAGAATGTAATGTTGTTTGAAGTCAAACAAAAGAACTAAACTTGACTAAAAGGAAAAAGGAAGTGAAAAACTTAACGGCATTTGGATGAAGTTAAAATAACTTGGATAAGGAATAAGGAAATGAATTCAAGGAATAATGTGTATAGGAATTTGTTTTTCTTGTTTGTTATATGATTCTTTTAATTGTTTGAACTGAAATCTTGTATATCTCAAAGGTTTAATCAATGGCATCTTCCAAAGGTCACAGTCTAGAATGCATTGTATTTGCAAAGTAAAGAACAATTATAGGTGAAACATATTTAATAGCTGAGTTAATTATCCTGGAAAAAGAAACCAACCAAAAGAATATTAAACTTTGTCTTTGTTAAGCACAAAAACAGAAAAGAAAATTATTGACATATTGGAAGAAATCTGGAGAAGCTATGACAACTCTGAGAGTAAACTGAGTCGTATAAGAAGATTAAACTTGGAATAGAATAAATGTATTTATTTTCAGCTACTACATAAGGAGATAGAGTGTGAATCAACCCACTTTGGTACATTGAAGTACCTGTCATGAGCTGCCTTATCTCCTATATTTCATATCTAAAGTTTCTGTCATCTGTCACTTTTCTTCCATGATTCCAAAATATCTAAGAAAGCAGGACTAATTCATGTCTGCACCAACACTATATTACTGTACCTATGTACCCAAGGTCTCTCCAACATTGACTTTTTCTTCTTCAGTTCTGCCAATTTGCAATGTTAAAGTTGTTTTGATTTGTAGTCCTCTTACTTTGAGTGATTTTTAGCATATTTTTGAATGGTCATTTAGAAAACTAAGGATATTAAGAGAAAAAACATAAGGGTGTACTTTCCAAGCTAGGGGGAAAGCCTGTAAAAAGATGATGGAAAGCTAATCCTAGGATACAGCAAGTAGGTCAAAATATTATGTGAGGGGGTGGGGCAGAGCCAAGATGGCAGAGTAAAAGCAGTGACTTGCTTGAACTCTCCCCCAAACCCCTCCAAATGTAAAAATGGCTCTAAAAAATTCTAGGCAGCAGAACCCACAAAAAGACAGAGTGAAGCAAATTTCCAGCCCAAGACAACCTGGATGGTTGATTGGAAAGGTCTACTGCACCAGACTGGGAGAAGAATGCAGTTCAGCGTAGGCATGCAGACAAAGACCAGGCCTTAGTGAACCTGGAGCAGGCCTCAGGGGACTGAATCCTGGACAGCTGTGGCAGTTTCCAGACTTCTCAACCCACAAATGCATATGAAAAGATGGAACAGACAAAATTCTCTCACTCTCTTTTCAGAATGGTAAGCAAGACAAGAAGTGTTGTGAGTTTCCAGGTGGGTAGCCTCTCCCACTCAGTTCCCAAAAGGCCATCAACCTGTAGTGCTATTGCATCTTCTGTGTTGTACGTCTGCTTTCCTGAAATGAAGTGAATAAATATTGGAAGTCGAACAGACCAGGTTGCAACCTTGTGAAGTTCACAAGGTCTGAAGAATCAGAGGTCCAGCGACTAGAATCAGAGTCTGCTGGTAACCCCAGCAGCTGAGCCCAGGGAAGAGCCAGCTCTGAGAAGCAAACTGAGTGACTTAGCAGACAACATTCTGTGATTTGCCAGAGAAGAAGCAATTGATCCATTGCTTATGCTACCCTCACTAGTGAATTGTGTGGAAGGGATGGTTTGTAGCAACCACTTAAAGTTTGAGCTCACGATTTTCAGAGGCAGTGAAGGAAATTGGCTACCAAATTAGGAGGGTTTGTACACCAATTCATATATACCCTAAACTTGGAAATTACTGTCTAAGCCAAACCTGCTGGAAACTTGAATCAATAGGTAAAGACACTGTCCTCCCTTCCCCCGTCCCAGATACAGCTATACATAAACACATACACTTACACATATATGCATATATAACATGCATATGCATATACATGTATGTATATACACATATATTTATGTGTATACATATACATATACATATTCACTTTAACAGCAATATAAGCGATAGGCTTCTGTGGACTGAATGAGTATTACCCCTAATAGGATAATATTTTAGCGAGTTTCAAGCTGACTATGGAAGAAATAGACATCAGCATGAAAGTGGACACGGTATCCTTGCCCTAAGGGATTATGTTTGGGACCATCTCCAGTTTGTTCAAAATACTAGAAATATATTAACAGACAAAAACCTTTGCCTTAGTACATAAACATGCTGACAGAGTACATAAACATCCTGGAGCTCATTATCTGAAAAGCCATGTAGTCATTTACAGGAAGATAGCATACAGGGCTGGCAGGGAGTATTGAGGAAGCATTGAATCTTCCAAGTTTGATGTGGATCCACAAAAGTTTTCTTTGGAATTCTCCAATGCCTGATAAATAGGAAAAAAATCAGTGGGAGAGCTTATGCTTGTCTGTCCTGGGATGTAGAATATGCCCAAATAGAACACACACAAATACTCTTAAAATTTTTGAGGATAGTCTCATAAAATGACTCTTTCAGACATGGAGAAGACCAGGTACTAACTGATAAAACTTGATCAACAGAATTTTCAAGGAGTCCCATAATCTACAGACCTTCACCATTGTAGTGATAGGAAGAAGAGTAGAGAAATTAGGATGTGGACCGCTAGACTTTGAATAGGAGAACTAAGGAGGATCATTACCATACTACAAGTCAGTCAATAAACATTTATTAAGCACCTACTGTGTACCAGGAACTGTGCTAAGCACTTGGGGATACTAAGAAATGCAAAAGGTACTTGCTGTTTTCAAGGAATAGGGCGAGACAATACGCAAACAGCTTTGTACAGGCAAAATATATATAAGATAAATTGGAAATAATCAACAGAGAAAAGGAACTTGAATTCAGGGGAATAAGGAAAGGCAATAAGGAAAGGAATAAGAAGGTGGCATTTTTAGCTGTGATTTGAAAAGATCCAGGGAAGCCAGAAGGCAGAGATGAGGAAAGAGAGCATTCCAGATATACAAGATAGTCAGTGAAAATGCCTAGTCAAAAGATGAAGTATTGGATATGAAGGTTATGGACAATCAAGTGGGATGGGATTTACAGTGAAACAATACTAGAAATGTAGAGAGGAGGGCAAATTATGAACAGCTTTAAAAGCAGAACAGCATTTTGTATTTCTGGAGGTGATAGAGCAACCCTGGATTTTATTGAATGGGGCTGGGTAGTGTGTAATATGATCAGGCTTATAGTTTAGGAAGATCACTTTAACAGCCGAGTGGAGAATGGATTCCAGTGGGGAAAGACTTGGGGCAGGAAGGCCAACTAGCAGGTTATTGGA